GGTACAATTAAAAAAAAAAGGTTAACGATCCAGCTTCAACTGACAGATGGTGGCCGGCATGATGTTGACCCCATCACCTTTCGAGTGCTGATTGGTCTATACAAATATAGGTCCAGCACTAAATTCTCTGGGCAGGGCTGTGGTGTAGTGGTTAGACTCTCGCCTACGGATCCAAAGGTCGTAGGTTATGGTTACCAGGTAATGTCCTGGGCAGTTATCTGGTAATCATAGTTTCAGTTTCATAGCAAACGGGTCACCTGGAATAAAGACGCGTGATGTTGATCACATCACCCACTGAGTGCCGATTGGTCCATAAAATATGTCTAGGGCGGTGAAAAGGGTATTATTTCACTATATGCTAGGTGAACTGTTCACTAACTAAAGAGAAATGGTCCTTGTTGGCTTTGAAACTGCAGCACCATGGACCATTTTGTGATGGTGGTGAGGTGGGAGTTGAATGTCTCAAGAAAAGGAGTTGACGAGGTTCAAAGCAGTACCAGTTTTAACTCTTGTACTGCTCTCCCAACTCAGTGGGAAAGGTATGAGTTCTGTCATTTGTTTCCATTTAACATATGGAAGGAGCCAGTGGGGCAGAGGTTTTTTCCCACTTAAAAGTGTGGTTGGCACTTTGTATTGTGATTTATAGTTATGCTGTGATATCTGCACCCTTCAGTCCAGCACATTCGATTTAAGCAAACCCCTAATTAGACTTCTGGTTTCATTGCCAGACCTACTGAGTTTAGGACTTGGTGCAGCCCTGTGAGCTTTGTTTTTGTTTTTCATTTGGAATGCCTTTCATTTGCTCAGCGTATGTGTTGTGATATTCAATAGGACCTGTAGCCAGTGAAATACCTTATTTAATAATTGTACGTGTGTATAGCCAACTTATTGTGCACTACTTCCATCATCAGAAAACTTCATTTCTGGTGGCGACTGTTGGCTTTGGCGCCTCTAGCCACTGCCATATGCATTTACTGGATTCTTCCAGGACTAATTGTTTATTCACCTGTTTTTTTCTTTTTTCTAAAATGGGACAGTGAGATACATTTCATTTGATTTTCCCTGGCACAGGAACGGCGCTAGTATGGGGGAACCCACATTCAGTGAAGTTGAAACCTCCACTTAGACTAAAAATAATCTCCTAATTAGTTGCCTTTTACTATCTGCTTCTTACAAATGCAATTGGTCTATTCTTTCCTCGACATGCCAGAACCCAGGTGGGCAACCTTGCCTTCCTGCTGCTTGCATTCGTGATGAACATTGTCTATGGAAGGCTGGAGCATAATTAAGTAGTAAACAAATTGGGGCCTGCCAAGAATTTAAATAACACTGGGGATAATGGTAAAGTGTGTGTTGGCAGTGAGGTGCATGCCCCACTCCCTCTCTCCACTGCGTTGATGAGTCTGGCCACAGTTATTTCACCCCCACTTACATGAAACACTGTACAGTGCAAGGCTTTCAGGCGGTTAATACACTTCAAAAGGCCCACATGCTTGAGATTTGTTTGAATTCTAAAGATAACAGATGGTTTATGTGAATGTCTGCCTGAATATAAAATTGTTAAGGTGAATGTCTGGCTGATGATAGCAGATGGTTCAAGTGAATGTCTGGCTGTAGATAACAGATTGGTCAAGTGAATGTCTGGCTGTAGATAACAGATTGGTCAAGTGAATGTCTGGCTGTAGATAACAGATGGTTCAAGTGAATGTCTGGCTGTGGATAACAGGAGGTTCAAGAGAATGTCTGGCTGTAGATAACAGATTGGTCAAGTGAATGTCTTGCTGTAGATAACAGATGGTTCAAGAGAATGTCTGGCTGTAGATAACAGATGGTTCAAGTGAATGTCTGGCTGTGGATAACAGGAGGTTCAAGAGAATGTCTGGCTGTAGATAACAGATTGGTCAAGTGAATGTCTTGCTGTAGATAACAGATGGTTCAAGAGAATGTCTGGCTGTAGATAACAGATGGTTCAAGAGAATGTCTTGCTTTAGATAACAGATGGTTCAAGAGAATGTCTTGCTGTAGATAACAGATGGTTCAAGAGAATGTCTGGCTGTGGATAACAACATATGGTTCAAGAGAATGTCTTGCTGTAGATAACAGATGGTTCAAGAGAATGTCTGGCTGTGGATAACAACATATGGTTCAAGAGAATGTCTTGCTGTAGATAACAGATGGTTCAAGAGAATGTCTGGCTGTAGATAACAGGTGGTTCAAGTGAATGTCTGGCTGTAGATAACAGATGGTTCAAGTGAATGTCTGGCTGTAGATAACAGATGGTTCAAGTGAATGTCTGGCTGTAGATAACAGATGGTGCAAGTGAATGTCTGGCTGTAGATAACAGATGGTTCAAGAGAATGTCTTGCTTTAGATAACAGACGGTTCAAGAGAATGTCTTGCTGTAGATAACAGATGGTTCAAGTGAATGTCTGGCTGTAGATAACAGATGGTTCAAGAGAATGTCTGGCTGTGGATAACAACATATGGTTCAAGAGAATGTCTTGCTGTAGATAACAGATGGTTCAAGAGAATGTCTGGCTGTAGATAACAGGTGGTTCAAGTGAATGTCTGGCTGTAGATAACAGATGGTTCAAGTGAATGTCTGGCTGTAGATAACAGATGGTTCAAGAGAATGTCTTGCTTTAGATAACAGATGGTTCAAGAGAATGTCTTGCTTTAGATAACAGATGGTTCAAGAGAATGTCTTGCTGTAGATAACAGATGGTTCAAGTGAATGTCTGGCTGTGGATAACAACAGATGGTTCAAGAGAATGTCTGGCTGTGGATAACAACATATGGTTCAAGAGAATGTCTGGCTGTGGATAACAGATGGTTCAAGTGAATGTCTTGCTGTAGATAACAGATGGTTCAAGAGAATGTCTTGCTGTAGATAACAGATGGTTCAAGAGAATGTCTTGCTGTAGATAACAGATGGTTCAAGAGAATGTCTGGCTGTGGATAACAACATATGGTTCAAGTGAATGTCTGGCTGTGGATAACAACATATGGTTCAAGTGAATGTCTGGCTGTGGATGCTTGTGAGTGTGTGTTAGAAGTGAGTTGTGAGATCTATTGTCCTTGTCTTTTTTAATCACAATTTTTTATGTTGCAGATGGGGTGCTGTAGATCATAATGATGATACATACCTAAATTGTTTGTGCCATGTTGTGCTTTATACTAGGAAATTGTCATAAGGGTCTGTGTGGATGCTTGTGAGTGTGTGTTAGAAGTGAGTTGTGAGATCTATTGTCCTTGTCTTTTTTAATCACAATTTGTTATGGAAGATGGGGGGGGGGGGGGGGGGGGGGGGGGGGACGACACTTGACCTGAAAAAGTTTAGATACCACTGGTTTAGAAGTATATGTTAAGGCCGTATCCTGTTGTTTAGTCTTATATGTGCATGTGAGGTATTGTCATTCTATTTATAGTCTTAGAAATGTATGCGGGGCTTGGTATAGAGTAGCTGAACTAAGACAAACTTGGTTGAATTCTGTTTTGTATGTATACCCTTATCACCCTCTGTGTGGTCCGGTGCTGGCTAAATGCAGGACAGTGAGCTCTAGCCCAGCACACTGGTGACATACACAGGTGTCAACAGCGGACTAGGACTGGCATATTTAGCTAGGGGATGTGTCAACACAGAGATGGCTGCAGCTTGCCCCAGTTGTCAGATGGTCATTGTGGAGCTATGATCTCTGTTGCTTTCCCTGAGAATTTCCAACATTTGTTTGTGAGGTTAGGGGACTCTTGGGCAGGCATTCAGTTCAACAGAAAGCTGTTTTCCCTCACAGACTGGCCTTGTTGAAAAGTCATAGTGTCCGAATGAATATTTTAATATTGTTTACATCTTGGTTTCCTCAGTTGAGTGTCCTATCCAGCGCCAGCGCCATTTCCTCACCTCCGAATTCACTATCATATAGCAAGAGCATGACACACATACTTCTAAGGCTCTAAACTCACACAATACTTCTAAGATTGTAAAACTCACATAAACTTCTAAGACTCTTAAACTTACATACACTTTTAGACTGTAAAACTCACATTATATTTATAAGACTCTAAAACTCAGTTAACACTTCTAAGACTCAAACTTGCATAACACTTCTAAGACTCTAAAGCTCACATAACACTTCTAAGATTCTAAAACCCACATATGCCTTTAAGACCAAAACTCACTCACACTTCTAAGGCTCTAAAACTGACAAACATTTTTAAGGTTTTAAAACTCAATACACTTCTAAGACTCTAAAACTCACATACACTTCTAAGACTCTAATGCTAGATATATACATATTCTCCTTGACTTACGACCAAACATATTTATGACCACAACAACATTTCTAAATAAAGATGACTATGTTGGTAGGTCAAAAAATTTCTGGGACTGATACAGTAGAGTAAAAAAATTTTTTTTTTACACTTTAGGTGCTATATTACATGTACATACATTTTGTGGGGGGGGGGGGGGGGAAGATTAAAAACCCTGTTGAATGAAAACTGACCAGTTTGACATACTGCCTGACCAGTTTGACATACTGCCTATTTGTTAGTCATTAACTCTTTTAGACCCAGAGAATGCATCATACGTTCACAGGTTCATACCTGAAAGCCCAATGAACGCATGTGTTGATTTTAGTCTCTTTTTACTACTAATTGGGCCTGTGATGCTAAACCCCCTGGGACTTAAAGAGTTAAGGAACTCAGCAGTAAGATGATGAGAGCCCTTTATTTTATGTGGAGTCATAGGTTAGTGCACTGCTTGCTGCAACAGATAATAAATCCAACATTTTAAACTGTATGTTGCCAACAGATAATGAATCCAACATTTTCAAAACTCAGTTAAAACAAAGCAGTCAGGTACACAGGGACTGCATGATGGCTTTCATCAATGCCAGATATAAAATGCTTAGAAAACTAGAGATTGTTATTTGTACACAGGAACAGCCAGGGAGGAAAGGAGTTAGATTATGAGTTAATTATTTGATGTCTTCTTTCAACAGAGCCCCTGAGATTCTGCTAGGCCTTCCGTTCTGTGAGGCCATCGACATGTGGTCTCTGGGCTGTGTGATAGCAGAGCTGTTTCTTGGATGGCCACTCTACCCAGGCTCATCAGAATATGACCAGGTGAGCAGACTTCAAGGGGATTCTTTCTCTTTTCTTGTTGTTCCCTTTATTGTAAAATGTTGCTTGTTGGTGGCATTCCAGTTGTTGTGAGACAGCTTGACAGTAAGCTTAGAGGTAGGGACATTGTAGTAGGTATTGTTCAGCAATGTTGAGTCAGTTGTGGACATTTTTTGCTTTGAGTCAGTTGTGGGCATTTGTGTCAGCAGTGTTTTGAGTCAGTCATGGGCATTTGTGTCAGCAGTGTTTTGAGTCAGTCGTGGCCATTTGTGTCAGCATTGTTGAGTCAGTCATAGGCATTTGTGTCAGCAGTGTTTTGAGTCAGTCGTGGGCATCTGGTCAGCAGTGTTTTGAGTCAGTCATGGACATTTGTGTCAGCAGTGTTTTTAAGTCAGTCATGGGCATTTGTGTGGACATTTGTGTCAGCAGTGTTTTGAGTCAATCATGGGCATTTGTGTCAGCAGTGTTTTGAATCAGTCGTGGGCATTTGTGTCAGCAGTGTTTTGACTCAGTTGTGGGCATTTGTGTCAGCAGTGTTTTGACTCAGTCGTGGGCATTTGTGTCAGCAGTGTTTTGAATCAGTCATAGGCATTTGTGTCAGCAGTGTTTTGAGTCTTGTGGACATTTGTGTCAGCAGTGTTTTGAGTCAGTCGTGGCCATTTGTGTCAGCATTGTTTAGTCAGTCATAGGCATTTGTGTCAGCAGTGTTTTGAGTCATTCGTGGGCATTTGTGTCAGCGGTGTTTTTGAGTCAGTCATAGGCATTTGTGTCAGCAGTGTTTTTGAGTCAGTCATAGGCATTTGTGTCAGCAGTGTTTTGAATCAGTCGTGGGCATTTGTGTCAGCAGTGTTTTGAATCAGTCGTGGGCATTTGTGTCAGCAGTGTTTTGACTCAGTTGTGGGCATTTGTGTCAGCAGTGTTTTGACTCAGTCGTGGGCATTTGTGTCAGCAGTGTTTTGAATCAGTCATAGGCATTTGTGTCAGCAGTGTTTTGAGTCAGTCTTGTGGGCATTTGTGTCAGCAGTGTTTTGAGTCAGTCGTGGCCATTTGTGTCAGCATTGTTTAGTCAGTCATAGGCATTTGTGTCAGCAGTGTTTTGAGTCAGTCGTGGGCATTTGTGTCAGCAGTGTTTTTGAGTCAGTCAGTCATAGGCATTTGTGTCAGCAGTGTTTTGACTCAGTCGTGGGCATTTGTGTCAGCAGCGTTTTGAATCAGTCGTCAGCAGTGTTGAGTGCACATGTCCTGGAAAAATCCACATATCTGTCTGACTGTGACACATATGTGTGTCTGCTTTGTAAGACACGTACTTGTGCTAATTGCCTTTGTTTTTCCACAAGATCCCAACCTACCAATTTTTTTGAGTCACATGTTCTAAATATAGTAGCTGCTCGAAGTTTGAAAAATAATATGCGCCTTTTTGTTGCAGATTCGATACATCTCCCAAACACAAGGTCTGCCTGCTGAGCACTTGTTGAGTACCGCCACCAAGACAAATCGCTTCTTTGTTCGAGACAACACAGACGGCAGCTATCCCTTCTGGAGATTAAAGGTATGTAGTAGGTTTTTTAAATTTTGGGACATTATCAGAAACAAGCTATAGGATCAGATGGTCTAGAACAGTGGTTCTCATCCATTGTTTAAACAGGTGGCTGCCCCCTGAATATGCACACAGACGAACGCATGCGTGCACCCACACACACAATAAAAAAATATGATAACAACAAGGACACCCCCCACCCAAAAAAAAAGGGGGGGGGGAAAGAAAAGAAAAATCACAAGTTGTATTAAAAAGAACCTTATTCGTATCCAATAACTTGGGATAAACAGTGACAAGTGGGAGTTTAGTGTCCAAATATCAATGTAATGGTGGACAAAAGATGGACAACAACGGCCTGAGATTGTTTAGTCAGGATGTTAAACACTAGGTTTGAAATCCCCTGCAGCCAACTTATTGTGCAGGTGACTGTCAAATGTCATTTTCTCTTTGCTTGTCTTTGTAACATTGTTACTTACTAAAATATGCAGGAGTTCAGTGGATGGAAGGAACGGATATTTGTTAGCTACAAAAGCGATATCTATAGGAGTACTAAAACTGTTTAAAGGAGTAATTCTGAAGACCATTTATAAGCAAATACTGATAGAAGTCACAGGATGAGATAACATGTGTAAGCCGGTCTTTTATCCTTAGGGAAAAGAAAACTCAGTGCCTCAGCGTGTCTTTGAAAGGTGCTGGTACTCATCTCCCCGTGTGGGTTCTGGGGCTCTGTTATAGGGAAAACAAGAACATACCCACTGCCAACCTAAAAGCATGTCTCAAGAGTCGACTAATTGGGAGCTTCCTTCAAAGTCAGAGTGCATCTGCCTTAGAGGCAAGGAACCAGCAGTCTGCATACTGAGTCAAATCTGTAAAAGGGATGCACACACATCACTCAGGTTCTGGAAGAGGACTGCAGACCAGAAGCGGATGAACAACCAGAACTTCCTGCCTGACTTTATAGCTGGTGAACGGGACGAAGAAGAAGAATAAGATGGTACTTATCACAAAATGTCTACAACAGTATTGGTGAAAAAATAAATGCCTAAAAATTGCCAATACTGTGTATGACCAGAAACAAAAATAACCTGTGTGTAAATGTGTGAACATGAAATTAGAAGAGGATCTAGCAAGGAGTGACATATGAGCGGGAAGAGAGTGACGTGTGGATAATCATTGTGCTACTAGAACAGTTAGCATCTCCATCTTAACACATGTGTGATGGGGGAGATGGAGCATCTCCATCTTAACACATTTGTCATGGGGGAGATGGAGCATCTCCATCTTAACACATGTGTGATGGGGGAGATTTAGCATTTCCATCTTAACACATGTGTGATGGAGGGGGGGGGGGGAGATGATGCATCTCCATCTTAACACATGTGTGATGGGGGAGATTTAGCATCTCCATCTTAACACATGTGTGATGGGGGGAGATAGAGCATCTCCATCTTAACACATGTGTGATGGGGGGAGATTTAGCATCTCCATCTTAACACATTTGTGATGGGGGAGATGGAGCATCTGTGGGTGCACCCAGTGTGTTGTGGTTTGATTCCTAAATCAGTAATGAATAAACACTGTTATTAACGGGTTTTTGCTGGGTTTTGTCCACAGTCGCCAGAAGAGCATGAGCTGGAGACGAAGATCAAATCGAAGGAAGCTCGCAAATACATCTTTAACTGTCTTGAAGATATTGGCCAGGTAAGGCAAAAACATGTAAGTGATCTTGATATTTTCATTGTTTGTCAGATTGGCTTCTTGTTGTGACATGTTGGCACTTCTGTTTTTTTGTCCCCGTGCCTCATTTTTTTGTCCTGGCACCTCCAGTGTTTGTTCTGGTATCTAATCTAATCTGTCCTGGTGCCTCCATTGTTTGTCCCACTATCTCAACTGTTTGTCCTGGTGCCTCCACTGTTTGTCCCACTATCTCAACTGTTTGTTCCACTGTCTCAACTTTTTGTTTCACTATCTAAACTGTTTGTCCCACTATCTCAACTTTATTCCACTATCTCAACTGTTTCCGCTTTATGTACCCTTCTTTATATCTTACTCTCCCTGCGTTTCATCTGTATATCTCTCTCCTTGCTTCTCTATGTACTGCACACACACCCCCTCTCCCTCCCCAACTTGTATGTATATCATCTTGTAATTCTCATTGTCCGTATATACATTCTTTAGTGCATCTGTTTGTATGCCTGTGCTTCTATGTATCTCTCTGTTTCAGTATATCTCTTTGTATACCTATACTTCTGTGTATCTCCTTGTATTTGTATACTTATGCTTCTATGTATCTTTTTGTATAACTGCTTCTATGTATCTCTGTGTACATATGTTTCGCTGTGTATAAACATTGCTTCTGTTTCTCTATATCACACCTTCCTTTCCTGCTTCCTGTATCCTTTGCTTTCTTTTTCTCTCTGCCAGTTTTCTCTTTAGTGAAGCTCATTGTTTTTGTCTATACCAATTACTCTGCTAACTCCTCATCTCTCCCTCTGATTTTTAGTACATCTCTTCCTGTTGTATCTTTTATGCTTTTATGTTTGGCTGTCTCTTTAATCCTCTTCTTCATCTTCAGCATTCCAAGCCCTTGCGGTTCATTATTGCAGACATCACCAACATCTGTTCATCTCTCTGACTGGCCTTCTCTTTCCAGTTGCTGGCTCACAGTGTTTGTAGGTGGGACTGTCTTTCCATAATCTGTGCCTATCTTTCCATAATCTGTGCCTATCTTTCCATAATCTGTGCCTATCTTTCCATAGTCTGTGTCTATCTTTCCATAATCTGTGCCTATCTTTCCATAGTCTGTGTCTGTCCATAATGCCTATCTTTCCATAATCTGTGCCTATCTTTACATAGTCTGTGCCTATCTTTCCATAATATGTGCCTATCTTTCCATAATATACCAGACTACCAGACCATATCTTTCCATAATCTGTGCCTATCTTTCCATAGTCTGCATATCTTTCCATAATCTGTGCCTATCTTTCCATAGTCTGCCTATCTTTCCATAATCTGTGCCCATCTTTCCATAGTCTGCCTACCTTTCCATAATCGGTGCCTATCTTTCCATACTCTGTGCCTTTATTTCCATAGTCTGCCTATCTCTCCATAATCTGTGCCTTTCTTTCTATAGTCTGCATATCTTTCCATAATCTGTGCCTATCTTTCCATAGTCTGCCTATATTTCCATAATCTGTGCCTTTATTTCCATAGTCTGCCTATCTTTCTACTATCTGTGCCTTTCTTTCTATAGTCTGCCTATCTTTCCATAATCTGTGTCTATCTTTCCATAGTCTGCCTATCTGTCCATAATCTGTGCCTATCTTTCCATAGTCTGCCTATCTTTCCATAGTCTGCCTATCTTTCCATAGTCTGCGTATCTTTCCATAGTCTGCCTATCTTTCCATAATCTGCCTATCTTTCCATAGTCTGCCTATCTTTCCACAGTCTGTGCATATATTTCCATAGTCTGTGCATATCTTTCCATAGTCTGCGCATATCTTTCCATAGTCTGCCTGTAATCTTTCCATACTCTGCCTCATTGACTACTGCACACAATCTCTCTCTCTCTCTCTCTCTCTCTCTCTCTCTCTCTCTCTCTCTCTCTCTCTCTCTCTCTCTCTCTCTCTCTCTCTCTCTCTCTCTCTCTCTCTCTCTCTCTCTCTCTCTGTGTGTGTGTGCGGCCCCCCCCCCCCCCCCCCCATATAGTTGCAGTCTGTTCAACCTCACTCTGCCATTAATTATTTGTCTTTTGCCTTTTAACCCCCAGTGGAGCATAGGCCCTCAGCTAACTCATGACAAAGTCCTTCTATTCTTCGCTATTGCGTGCTGCCCACCCCTGTCCTTCCTATCTTTTTACTATCTGTGCCTTTCTTTCTATAGTCTGCCTATCTTTCCATAATCTGTGTCTATCTTTCCATAGTCTGCCTATCTGTCCATAATCTGTGCCTATCTTTCCATAGTCTGCCTATCTTTCCATAGTCTGCCTATCTTTCCATAGTCTGCCTATCTTTCCATAGTCTGCCTATCTTTCCATAATCTGCCTATCTTTCCATAGTCTGCCTATCTTTCCACAGTCTGTGCATATATTTCCATAGTCTGTGCATATCTTTCCATAGTCTGCGCATATCTTTCCATAGTCTGCCTGTAATCTTTCCATACTCTGCCTCATTGACTACTGCACACAATTCTCTCTCTCTCTCTCTCTCTCTCTCTCTCTCTCTCTCTCTCTCTCTCTCTCTCTCTCTCTCTCTCTCTCTCTCTCTCTCTCTCTCTCTCTCTCTCTGTGTGTGTGTGTGTGGCGGCGGCCCCCCCCCCCCCATATAGTTGCAGTCTGTTCAACCTCACTCTGCCATTAATTATTTGTCTTTTGCCTTTTAACCCCCAGTGGAGCATAGGCCCTCAGCTAACTCATGACAAAGTCCTTCTATTCTTCGCTATTGCGTGCTGCCCACCCCTGTCCTTCCTATCTTTTTAAACTTCATTCTCTAGCTCCCTTCTCGGTGTGTTTTTTGGTGTTCCTTTATTTCCGTGCCCCTGTAGGTTCCAGTCAAAGCCATTCTAATTATGTTGCTCACAGGTTGTCTTCATATGTGTCCTATCCAACACCAGCAAATTTTCCTAACCTCTTTGTCCACTTGAACTTGTTTAATTCTCTCCCCAAAGCTCAACATTAGTGATTCTGTCGCACCATTGAATTCCCTGTATTCTGTGAACAACAATTCATAAGCATTTGTTTTTGTTGTTTTCCATGTGTTCACTACATACAGCAGTACTGATTTGAGATTAGAATTGTCAATTTTAAGTTGAACGTTCATTTTAATTCCCTTTGTTCTCTGTGTTGGTTTTGGGACCCCTTTTAGGATTAAAAACAGCCCCCTCCCTTTTTTTCCTTACCACAAACATGTTGTAAGAGCTGATCAATTAGGTGTGTTTCCTTTGAAGTTGCAGTGCATCTGCCTGAATGGCGTGTAACTAAGTCTTCTCACAAAAAAGCCAGATATGTAAAATGGATGTGCAGCAAAATCGAAGTTCTGTAACAAGACTAAAGTCTAGAAGTGGATAAACAATCAGAACTTTCCTCCATAGTTTACAGCTGGTAAACGCGTAGAAGAAGATTTTTGTTAGCTCCATACAATAGAAATAAAATTTTTGAGTTGAATGTTAGTTTTAATTTCCTTTGACTTCCACAAATTTTCAAGTGCTATGAAAACTCCTCTTCACTTTTGTATTTGTATTTTAATATCACCCTCTTTATATACATTACTGCTCAAATACCCTGTGTGGGTTCTGGAACCCCTTTGTCGGGGGAAACAAGAATAGACCCACTGCCTCCCCAACAAGTATGTTGTAAGAGTCAACTAATTGGGGGCTTCCTTCGAAGTCAGAGTGCATCTGTCTGAGAGGTAAGGAACCAGCAGTCTGCGTTTGAAACAAAAAAGTCATATCTGTAAAATGGATGTGCATGCAACACTCAGGTTCTGGAACAAGACTAAAGTCCAGAGGTGGACGAACAACCATAACTTTCTGCTGAAGTTTACAAGCGGTGAACGTGAAGAAGAAGAAGACTGCATATATAGGTGTACGACTGCACATCTTTTTGTGGGATAGCATTAAGAAAGAAGACTGCACATCTTTTAGTGGGATAGCATTAAGAGAAATTTGATTACTGGTTTGCCTGAATTCATGAATGGGGTAGAAAAGAAATAGTGAAGTCCAGGTTATCAAGTTGTTTTATAGAGACCCACTAAAAGGCAACTAGTTAAGGATTTGTTGATGTGGAATTTGTTGGACCAAAAGGTATAACCTAACTTTCAAACCACAGTGCAGTGCCTTGGGTCAACGGGAGAACACAAAATACAAAGATACTGGAAACCTGTTGGGTAGAAAGGTGCAGATATCACAGCCTGGCTGTAAACCACAGCACAGTGTGTCAACCACCTTTTTAAGATCAAACACAAGAGAAGAAACATATGGAGAGCTAAAGGTCTTTAGGATGTAATGTAGTTCATCTGTAGAAAAGACATCTACTGGTAAGGCTGTTCCCAAGCAAGTTGGAAACTGCAGCATAGAAGGGAGCATGGAGTTTTTGGTGCCATTGGTTTTCATCAGCAAGTACTGATAATGTCATTAGTCACAAAACAATTAATGATAACATCTAGGTTTCGCCCTTGCTCGGGGCAGTACTTACCAGCCCGGTGTGCTAGATTTAACTCTTTTGACCCATACAAATCTTTCAACAGAAAGACATTGTTCAACATTTAGCGTCTTCTGAAATTTCCATTCTTAGTGCAATGGTTCCCAACCCTTTTTTGAGTCGCGAACCCCATTTTTTAGAGGCAGAGTGACCTACAACCCCATACATTGGAAATAAGCTTGTTAATAGGGTAAATAAAAACACATTGATAATTGATTTTCAGTGCAGGACACAATAAAATGATGTTTGGTTTCCCTGTTATCTAACTACTATTCGGTAACCCCACAGACAACCCTTTGTGACCCCATATTGGGTTGTGGCCAGTGGATTGGAAACCAGTGCCTTGGTGGATCTCTCTCTGTTTTGTCCGAGCTGTGTGTATTGGCATGGTATGCATGCTTGTTTTTTTTATAAAAGGAAAGACTAAATGGTTATGACCGTTGCCACAGATCAATGTGCCGACAGACATGGAAGGCAGTGAACTGCTGGTGGAGAAGCTGGACCGCCAGGACTTTGTGGACCTGCTGAAGAAGATGCTGACGCTGGATCAGGAGCGCAGGATTACGCCACGGGAAGCCATCATTCACAAGTTTGTCAGCTTGGATAGGCTCAAAGACTATCCTCACACAATTATGTAAGTCTTGGAGGTTTTCCCTCTGTTTCTTATTCTGCCGTTTAATTGTACACTCTTCTGTTGACTGTGTGAACTTAGTTAGTTAGTTAGTTAGTTGGGTTATCCTCATTGCACTCCGGACATGTCCATAGGTGCTCAGATCCTCCCCTCAGTATGAACCCCAACGTCCGATGGCTAATAGTACCAGTTCTATGTTGATTAACAAGTCTTCTGGCGTAGCTGGTGTGCGTCTCGTTTTTTGCTGTGCCGATCTTAATTCCCAAGTCTGCCATTCTGGCGAGTGATGTGGATTCACTGCCACCAAAGTCCTCTATTCTTCCCATTTCTCTGAGGGCATTGATAATATCAGCATGATCCATAGGCTGACCGTCGGTAGTGATAGCGGATCCAACCAACCTGTCAGCTCTTTCATTTCCATCGACGCCTGCGTGTCCCGGAACAAAAATAAAGGTGACTCCACGAACAGTGGACTTCTGTAATGATTCAAGCCATTGTCTTCGCACTGAACCTGCCTGAACCCTCCGGATCATACTCATTGAATCACTGAGTATACACACGCGGGTGTATTTTTGTGTTTCAAGCCAGGCAAGCGCTTGTGTCACTGCCATCACCTCCATCGTCATGCTGCTGGTTGTCATGGAGAAGGCGCCGTTGGCTTCTTTGACTGTTCTGCCCGCTGAGCGTGCTGTAAATGCCCATGCGCTTCTTCTTTGGCGTATAACGGATCCGTCTGTATAGATTATTGCATCTGCTTCGTCTGAATTTTCACTGATGAGAGTGTTGACCTCTGCATTAACAGCAACAGGACTCTCTTCTCTACTGTGTGAACTAGTCAAGTAAAGGTCCCTTTTCCACACCTTTAGGCATTCGGGTTAGACCTATATTTTTTATAGACCAACCGGCACAAGATGGGTGATGTGGTCAGTATCACGCCAGCCGCCTTTACTTCCCGGGACCGCAGTCAGTACCCACTCAAGGCTGGCTTGATCTGGAAGTCGAGGTTATTTAAAAAATAAGTCCGGTTCTGCCAGAGAGTGAACCCACGACCTTCCGATCCGCCAGCGAGCATCTAGCTGCTACACCACGGCGGCTCCCATTGTGTGAACTGATATCTGTATTTACCTTCTTCACTGCAGGCACTAATCTTTGGCTATAGATAAATTTATGTGATTACATTGAAGTTAGACATACAGCAAACATAAACTCAACATCTTGTGTGATTCCAGTGCTAACTTATGGATGCGAGAGTTGGAAAGCAACGGTATCTCTAGATTAAAAAAAAAAAATTCGACAATTTTGAGAACAAATGTCTTAGAAGAATACTAAATCTCCATTAGACAGATTTCAAATCCAATACGCAAAAAAATGTATCAAATTTTATAAGAAAGCAAAGCTGGAATTGCATCGGCCATGCACTCAAAGTGGGTTAGACTAAACACACACACACACATACACACAGAGGCGCCCCCCTCCCCTCCCCCGCTCAAAGTCCTTATATAGACACTGGAAGGGAAAAGGAAACAGGAAAGAATAAGAGAGACCCTGCGTAGAAGCATTGCCAGGGAATGCTCAACCATTGGACTAGAACGTCTAAGGCTCAAAGCAGGTGGCAACGAACCACCGGACATTAAGAGCTATGACCTCTGCCCTATGCACCACCTTAGGCTCAAGAGGAAACACTAAATAAATAGCTAACTAACATTGGTGCACCAATTGTGCATAGATATATTGACGCGATTGCATTAAAAGTTCACTGTCGTCATCATTGCTTTCTACTGGGCTATTTGAAGTTAATGTTGAGAGATTCGGTTGTGAGATTTGAACAGTTATAAATGAGACTTGAATCGCACCTATCAAAAAGACAGAAAACGTTCGCTGTTCATTTATGTAATGGTTGTTTTCACAGTTACAAAGCCAGCTTGAATGCCATGGACATCGCCTACAAGAGGCCCCACCGTATGATGGACCCAAGCTGCAGCAGTGTGATGCACAGTGTCGTGCCTTCCACCCCTGGCAACTTTACACTGACTTTCAACAACAACCAGATCAACAACCAGATCAATGCACTACATTCACAGGTGGGTCGGTTGTCTTTACCGGTGGGTCGGTTGTCTTCACAGTTGGGTCGGTTGTCTTCACAGTTGGGTCGGTTGTCTTTACATGTGGGTCAGTTGTCCTCACAGGTGGGTCAGTTGTCTTTACAGGTGGGTCGGTTGTCTTCACAGGTGGGTCTGTTGTCTTTACAGGGGATTTTGTCGTCTTTACTGGTGGGTCTGTCATCTTCACAGATGGGTCTTATAGATGTAAAGATGGGTGAATTCATTCACAGCTGGGTCAATAGATTTACATCTGGGTCTATCGTCTTCACAAGTGGGCCGATTACATGTAAAGATGGGTCAATAAATTCACAGCTGGGTCTATCATCTTCACAGGTGGGCCTTTACCTGTAAAGATGGGTCGATAAATTCACAGCTGGGTCTATCGTCTTCACAGGTGGGCCTATTACCTGTAAAGATGGGTCGGTACATTCACAGCTGGGTCTATTACATTCACAGGTGGACGTGTAACATTCATAGGTGGGTCTGTTATCTTTCTTGATGTTGTTGTCTTCCCACTTGTATATATGTCTACCTCTGGTCTTCGGCTCTTCTTCCAGCAAGTATGGTTTTTAAAACAATAATTAAAAAAAAAATTCACTTGTCTCTTTCCCCCCCCCCCCCTCCGTCAACTATCTTCATACCCAGAACCTCTGGTTTTGTTTCTATTTCCTTGAAATATAATCTGTTTTGCTGTATATGAAGATCTCCGGGGACTTGGTGCGATTTCTAGTTGCTTATTATTCTTCGAATTCCTCATTTCAACTTTAGAAAGCTGACTGGGAAATTTTATTGTGGTTTACAGCTAGGCTGCAGTATTTCACTTTTAATGACATGCTTTTTAGGGAACAGTGGGTCTATTCTCTCTCTGTTCCCTCCCCATTTCACTGGGGTCTCAGAGCCCACAAGTGGAGGATTTGTCGTCCAGGTTTCTGTAGTGCACAGTGGGGCTGATTATACACTAACATTTGACAATTCATTTTCATAAAAAAAAAAAAAAAAAAAAAAAAAAAAAGGCGCCAGAAAACACATTGACTAAAGTTACAAAGTAGTAATGAAAATAATTTTGGGGGGGGAGGGGGGGGGGGGGGGTCCACCACAACATGAGGGACTATATTAAAGGATCGTAGCATTATCAAGGCTGAGAGCCACTGAATTATAGTAATTGGTAAACCTTTCCTGTTATTTTCAGATGGCATCTTCCAACGGTCATGGCCAGAATGCCGCAGACCTGCAGTACCTTCAGTACTCGCTGCCCTCCGGTCCCTATCTCTCTTACCAGGCAACTCCTGTGAGTCAGCACTTGGATCAGAGAGTGGTTGCTGCGGCGGCCGCCGCTCAGAGGTCGTCAGGTCAGTTTGCACGCTCGGACCCATTCCGGCAGTCCTTGTGTATGCCGTCCCTTGTGGTGCCTGCAACTCTGCCAGGTCAGTGCTGGTTGTGAAATGTCATTAATGGGATAATAGAGAGTGTCATGTCATTAAGGGACCTGTCATCAATGGGATGAAAGCGTGTCCTGTCATTAGTAGGGTGAAAGAATGTGTCATTTATAGGGCAAGAGTGTGGGTCATGCCATTAGTGGGTCATGTAATTAATGGCCCAGGAGAGTGGGTTATGTCATTAATGGCTCAAGAGAATGGGTTATATTTGGCTAGAAAGTTGGTCATGTCATTGTGTTGCAAGAGATGATTAGATCATGTCATTCATGGGGTAAGAGAATTGATCGTGTTAAGGGAACAGCAGAGAATGTCAATAATGGGTTGAGAAAGGAGGTGAAATCAATATGAGCTGGACATGATGATGTTCTTTCCTTCCTTTCTTTCTTTTTCTCTTTCTTTCTTTCTTTCTTTCTTTCTTTCTTTCTTTCTTTCTTTCTTTCTTTCTTTCTTTCTTTCTTTCTTTCTTTCTTCTTTCTTTCTTTCTTTCTTTCTTTCTCTCTCTCTCTCTCTCTCTCTCTCTCTCTCTCTCTCTCTCTCTCTCTCTCTCTCTCTCTCTCTCTCTCTCTCTCTCTCTCTCTCTCTCTCTCTCTCTCTCTCTCTCTCTCATTCTTTCTTTCTCTCCCTTCCTTACTTCTATCCATCCATCCATCCATCCATCCATCCATTCATCTATCTTCTTTAGTTTCTACACTAGGTTTAGTTACCATTAGTGATGTCAGATAACGACCCTGTGATTATATTTGACCTCATTCTTGATATTTTTGCAGGCTTGAACTCTCCTGTTCGCCCCAGTGCTGTATCCATGGTGTCACAGCCTGCGCCCACACTGCAGCTACAGCCACAACTGATCAGCCAGGTATGTGGCTTGACACTAACAATAACACACCCATAATCCCTCTTGTTGATCTAACAATCTGGTAATCTGGTAATCTGGTAATCCTAGTTTCAGCATCATAGCAAACTGGTCACCCCATTTAACAATATCCTCTTCCTGTCAGTGTAGACACATAAGGAATTTGCAAATGATCTGTATTGCTGCCAGTCTTCTCCGTGTGGATTCGGGGGCCCCATTATAGGGAAGAAGAATAGTCTAGACCCACTGTCTCCCGAGAAAGCATTTTGTAAGAGTTGACTAATTGAGGGCTTCCTTTGAAGTGAGAGTGCTTTTGCCAGTGAGGCAAGGAATCATAAAATTGCATACAGATAAGTCAGATCTGTAAAATGGATATTCAGCAACACTCAGCTTCAGGAACCAGAATAAAATCCGCAGGTGAATGAACAACCAGAACTGTCTGCCGGAGTTTACAGTCTATGAGCGCGAAGAAGAGGAACTATCAGTTTTCTGCCTATGATATCCCATGTGATGTTACATTCCTTTATTTCCCTTTTCACTTTCCTTCTCAATTTCCCTTTCTACTTTCCTTCTCGATTTTCTTTTCTACTTTCCTTCTCCATTTACAACCAGGATCAAGTTTAAAGTTGGTGTGTCTGAAAATTTATGTGTCCAGTTACGACCAGGCTCAAGTTTAAAGTTGGTGGGTCTGAAAATTTATGTGTCCGGTTATGACCAGGCTCAAGTTTAAAGTTGGTGGGTCTGAAAATTTATGTGTCCAGTTATGACCAGGCTCAAGTTTAAAGTTGGTGGGCCTGAAAATTTCTGTGTCCAGTTATGACCAGGCTCAAGTTTAAAGTTGGTGGGTCTGAAAATTTCTGTGTCCAGTTACAACCAGGCTCAAGTTGAAAGTTGGTGGGTCTGTAGCAAAGAAGTTAACAAGACTAAAACATGTACAGGCTCAAGATCCAGAAAAAACCAAACAGTGAAAGATCAAGTGGAAAACAATTGCATTAAATATACAGGCCATTTGAGGCCTCCAGGCGATTATATTTTTGCCAGAGGCCTGTTAGATTCTACGTGAACAGGCCTTAATATAATGATTTCTTAGTATTGTTATTGTTGTTCATTAGATCTTATAATGCCAGTACTACCACAGTACTTTATAAAACAGTGCTTAAAAGCTGTTTCACTTTTTCTCCATACATTTGTGCATGTTTTTACAAGAAAACAAATTTTGTTAAGGTGAATATCGTAATAAAAAAGCATTATTTATATGTCTTATTAGAAAGGATGCGATGTTTTATGCTTCATTACATTTTGATACAGTCTAGTAGTCAACTCATGTGATTTAGTGATATATGCCAGGCAATAAATTGTACTACAGTGTTTCATTTGCGTCTGCATTATTTAAAAATAGACAAACAAAAGCAAACTTAATAAAAGCTTATAAAAACTCATTTATTTAGCTAGAGAATAGTTAAAGCAACAAAGACCCAGTCTGGCAGATATTATTGATAGAACCTTAAGTGAAATGTTTCTGTCTCTGTTAGGCATCACAGCTGACCCCGGTTACAATGGTGGACACTAGCCGCCCGGTCATCATGGCTGTATGTAGTCATATGAGTGCTCATGCTATATATATATATATATATATATAAAACACATAACTGCAGTACCTGGCTGCTTACTAACCAGTTGTGACTTGGCAGAACTAGAAACCACATAACTTTTGTTCTTCTTCCGTTGATCCTTCTGGAGCATAGGCTGCTAGCCAACTCATGGTAGGCCCTTTGCCGCTGAATGCAGATAGATCCACAGTCTCCCTCATATCTGCTTTCAGCCTTATCTCCATGTGTTTTGTTTGTTGTTGTTGACCTCCCTTTATTTCTTCGTTTCTAAGGTTCCAGTGTAAGAACATTGTAATAATACTACTGCATGATTTTTTTTAGTGTCCACTCAGTTTTCCTCACTTCTTTATTCAAAGGAATTTTTTTTAGTTTCCTGCCAAATCTTCACATTAGTGACTGTACCAGTCAGTTTTTTTAAAATTTTGTGTGGGTAAAATTTGTGTGTGACTTGCTACTATCGCCACCACAGGCACTTACCCCCCCCCCCCCCCCCCCCCCCCACACCCCCATAACAGCATTAGCTCCTAACATAGACCATATTCCTTCGGCCAACTTGTTTGTTATACACAAACATAATCATACAGTATCTGGCTGTGTACTAACCAAGTTGTGACTGATGAAATACACGCTTGCTTAATTCATAAGTTAATACTGTTATACAAAAAGTGGTGAAAATAGGGCTCTGGTCAAGCTAATAGCACAGAATCAATCCAGTGAACTGTGACTAAAAAGCTAAACGAAATGGGGAATCGGAAAAGCGTGCACAAAACAACACAAATCGACATTTCGACAGGAGGCCTTTCTCGACATGAACTCTGAGTTCATATGGAGAAAGGCCGCCAGCCGAAATGGTCGATTTGTGCTGTTTTACACATGTTTTACTGCTTCCCTATTTCATTAAAGTCACACTAATCACGGTTTTAGTCACAGTTCACTGGATTAACTCTGACTGTTATACAATCACATGATCTTGCAGTACCTTATCGTACCAACCATTTTCTGAGTGATCAAATGAGGGCCTGCTTGATGTTGCACCTACTATACACAATATTACTTTGAGTAAAATGTTTGCTTAATTGTTAACACTGCATATATGGATGTTCGCTGTAGAACAGATTACATTGTCAGATAGTTCATTTCTGTAGCAAGTTTGCCGGTGACCATTAGCAGCAATATTTTTTATCATTGTGTAACACACTAATGTTTGTGTATGTGACTTGTATTACACATGGTGTGGGGGGTTGAGTTGAGTGAAGAATTTACGTCATAGCACTTGGGGCATTCCCATATGCGCTCTTTCCTCATCTTCAGCAGCCAGCACAGAGTTCCAAAACTGATGGTACCGGTCACAATCTGGTTACATGTCCGTCTTGCCTTTCCCCTGAGTGTAGCGAGCCGGCCAGACCCTCATTCTCTCCAGGCCATAATAATCTTATTTCTCTACTGATTCCGTTGCTTGTTCCCAAAGGGCCTTGACTACATCTAGGGTGGGTGGGTTTTTCCTTTTAAGTTTAATGTGTTATAAAGAAAAATGTAACTTTTAAATGTGTGCATATAAACTCACAGCAGTCTGTTTTTACCTGTGTGACTTGTTGAGTCATGTGTGTTTTAACTTTTGTGAAGTGTATTTGTATGTTGTCATAAGAGGGATATTCTTTCACAAAGCTGATGATTTATGAAGAAGAAGATGATTAATCGCTGCCATGAATTGGTTAGACAACTTGTTTCACACTCCAAAAAATCTTGGCCGCAGTTTCATTCTATGTTGTTTGTTTATGAATGCATACATTTAGGATGTCAGTATTCGTCACCTGTTGAGCGTTTGTGCGATGCTGTGGGCTGGCAGTTTTCTGTTCTGTGGAGGGAAACTGAAACAGTTTTGAAATATGACCTGAGGCAATGAAGTTTATTCACCTCCAACAAGTTATCAATATTCAGTGATTAGATAAGCTTTGTAAATTTGTATACACCTTCTTCTCAACTTATGACATGTGACCTAAACCATCTGCACTTACAACTTAAAAAAAAAAAGAAAACTGTAAAGAAATAAGATTACATTAGTAGGATTTAAAAAATGCCAAGGAACTGATGCAGTATGTGTATTTGACGTTGTGTACAATAATTATACTTGCATAGATGGACATTTGTTTGTTTGTTTAATGTACAATTTTTATTACTTGTTTGAATGAAAATAGTGTTATCAGTTATAAATTTAGCTTATGACCAGTTTGACTGACAGCATGTTAGTCGGAAACCCTTTAAAATATTATAAACAAATAGACATTTTGTTCAACACTTATAGAAAGAAATAGATCAAGAGATTTCTTAGTTAAAATCGCTAAGCTGTACTTACCATGCCCGAAATTGAACCTGTTACCTCCAAGTGATGAAAGTACCTTGCTACAGGAACAATATGACCAACCCGATGCCCCTGAAAAAATATTTTTATTGGGTCATCGTGGGCCAGATCTATCATTTTGTTTGTGAAGTTATGTTTGTTCTAAAGTTTGTGCATTTTCTCCTATTTTGTAGAATGCTCATGGTAACTGGGCTAGTAGCCGTCCTGTGGTGATGGGGCCTTGGCCATCTCTGGCCCAGACAGCACAGAGGGTGCCCCATCTGCAGGAGGCTTTGCCCCCGGAGGCTTGGAGACAACCTATTATGGTCGGCACAGACACTTTTGATTCTGCACCAACCGCTGTGCTTCCTCTGGTGAGTGTTGTTGGACGTGCACGCACACACACACAAACTCACCACGCATGCACACCCACTCCAGTCTCTTCTAAATCTGTCTCTCCTTTATACCGCTCTTTAAATCCCAGCCTTCAGTATCATTTCACTTATTTTCTCAACATTTTTTGTCACACTATCCCTCTTCACTTCATTCTGTTCCAAATCTTTTATGGAATCCTCACTTTTCAGTTATGCTCTTTTTCTCTGTTCCCTTTCTATATCCTCCATTCTCCTCTCCACTCTCTCACATACATTTATGCACATTCACATAGTGTATGTACGCGCCCACCCGCAGGCAAATTTATTTTGAGAGACAATCATCATCATGTGCCATGCTGTTAAGCATAGGCTATCATGTTTCACCAGAATATGTCAATATTCTTTTCTCGCCCTATTCGTTTGGCCAAGCCATCCAAGTATTTCTTTCTTTGCTTTCCTGATGCTCTACTTCCATTAATTGTGCCAGTTGTTAAACAAGTCAGAAAACATTTAATAAAATCACAAATAATAGGGAATTCTAAAATGTTTAGCCCTTAAATAAGATCTGCTGATATTCTGGTCATTTGAGCCCTGAAAGGTAAAGTATCTCTGTGCAGTCGGTGTGAATACTGTCCATTCCAACATAGCTCCAGTTGACACATGCCATGTGTGTTGAGTTGAGCTTCAACATTGTTAACTTGCTGCTAAAGAGCTTTGACCACAGCTAGCTTGCCCTACATCAGTTCACCACCTAGTGGTGCAGCAGCAGCCAGTCTGTATGTTTGTTTCCTCACACACCTGCATGTCTTGGAGATAAGATCCAAAGGACGCTAAGTACCAGAGACCCCTGAAGGGAGGCTTTCCACACAGCTTGAAGCATATTGATGTTTTCTCTTCATACTGTGTTATTGTACCAGTCCTGCCCTGTGTGAGCATCTAGTCCTCCAGCCGCTGAAGCCCAAAACTTGATGTATCATATGCTAATCTTCTTTTGTGGGTTCCAGCGCCCTTTGTGGGAGAAAACAGTAGTAGACCCACTACTGCTCTAACAAGCATGTGTAGAAGTTGATTTATCAGATAATTCCTTCTAGGTCGGAGTGTATCTGCCTGAGAGGCAAGGAACCAGCAATTAGGCCAGATCTGTAAAACAGGTGTGCATGCAAAACTCAGGTCCTTAAACAATGCCAGTCCAGAAATGAACGAACAACCAGGACTTTTTGCTGAGGTTTACAGCCGGTGAATGTAACAACATATGCTAATATTTCTTGTACTAAGTGACTGCAGTTCACTTTTGCAATGAACCTTCATGCATTTTTCTGCCTTTCAGCGCAGATCCACTTAGCACAGATCCATCTGTATAGATAATCACACCACCTGCTGAGGAATTTTCATGGGTCAGTTTTTGAATTTCTGTTCCTGCAGTGTCTGCTGGCCACTTTCTGCCTTCCTTGTTGATTTTTAGAATCCTACACAAGTAATTTTGGCCCCAAAACCTTAACCTCCTCCTTGCCCATGTTTTCACACATCTCTTCTTCCAGTTCACCGGCTGTAAATTTCAGTGGAAAGTACTGGTTGCTCGTCCAGTTCTGGACTTTAATCTTGTTACAGAACGTTAGTTCTTGCATGCACATATGTTTTATGTCTGGTTTATTTGTATGCAGGCTGTTGGCTCCTCACCTCATAGGCAGATGCACTCCCGTTTAGAAGGAAACGCCCCAAATTTTTAGTTTTATTTTACAACATGCCTGTTAAGTTGGCAGGGCCCCCCCCCCTCGCCTTCCAAAAAATTGGGCCCCGGAACACACATCTCTAATTGTAACTTATTCTTGTGCCAGCCAATATTTGCCTGTTGTCTACACTACATAGGTTTAGCAGCTAATGGGTGAATGTAGTCAGTAAGTTAATCATCAGTGGTATCGTTCTCTCCACAGAGTGCTTCTTCCCAACAGTGGAACATTGGGATGGTTCCTACATCCTACTCTGTGGCTGCCAGACACACCTCTGCCCAGACCAGTAAAAGGCCTACTCGCTACAGGTAACGTCCCTGTGGTTGTGTGTGTGTTGCTCTTCTTTAGCCTGCCTCCCATCTTTAGATCGGTGGCTTTAAGGACAGGTTAAACCCCCAAATTGTATTTGTATCTGCTGGAAACAATGCTTTCTATAGGTACATCAGATTTCAGGCAAATTCATTTTGAGGGCTAATATCAACATATTTTTACCGGTATTGATTGAAAATGTCATGTTTTATTAGGAAAATAGCAAAATTTGTACTCATTTGCCAGGATATTTCAGAAATTAATAAAGATTGTCTAATCAAAATTTGCACATAAATTGAACATATGTCACTCTTCATGAACTAAATACTATTCACTGAAAGCTAAGGTTTAAAAGTGATGCTTGTGTATGTGTTCAAAAGTTGTTTTGTTATGTTTACCTGTCAACGGTGTTTCTCTCCGTTCGGGTTGTGGGATCCCATTTTTCTGGGAAGAGAGAATTTACAGATCAAATGGTTAGGGCATGTGTGAAGACTGTCACCTGACAGTGCACCACAGAAAGCTCTGTCACTTAGGCATAATGAAAGCAGAGCCAGAGGTCGACCATGTAAGTTATGGATAGTTGGAGTAGGAAAGGCCGTAACACCTGCATTTACCTAACACATACCAAGGTTGTCACCTGATGCTGACGGGCAGAACAGGATGAGAAGAAGCAGAAGAGAAAATACCTGCTGCAGTTTAACTTACAAGTATGACTAGCTAAGATTGCTGAAAGCGGATATATTAGTCCAGAAGGAGCAGATATCATATCCTAGCTGTAAGCCACAAGACAATGTGCCAACCACAGTGTTGAGGGGGAAACACAGAAACAATGTCTATGCAGATAACTTTGAATGGTTTGTTTTGATTTGGCTTCCTTGAGGTGTTTTTCACTATTGGCATAGCGCTATGTAAATATATGGAGCCACAGTGGAATAGTGGCTGGCTACTATGTAACTGACTGACTTCTGTGTGAATTGCTGACTTATTTGCTACGGTATGACTGATTGACTTCTGTATCACTGATTGACGCTGTGTGACTGATTGAATGTTGTGATGCAGTAAATTGTGCAAAGCTTGTATGTTAACATGTGTCTTTGAATGTTGTAATGTAGTAAATTGTGCAAAGCTTGTATGTTAACATATGTCTTTGAATGTTGTAATGTAGTAAATTGTGCAAAGCTTGTATGTTAACATATGTCTGTAAATGTTATGATGCAGGCAACACAAGGAGATTCCTTCCACTCAGCTGTCCCCGGTGAAGAAACGGGTCAAAGAGAGCACACCGCCCTTGACCCTGATTGACCACCCTCTGTACTGTCATCCCGGAGCACCATCAGCAGATGAAGCTGCACTGCTCCACCTGGCAGACTGGTCGTCTTCTTCGTCCTCGGCCTCCTCACACCTGACTCACCCTCTGTCGGTCTCCCACCAGGTCTTGTCAGCTGCGGGCTTAGCGGCCCCACTGGAGCATGCTCAGAGACACCCATTTATTGTGATTAGGTTAGTGAGGTTTGTGTTTGTGAAGGTGGAGTTTGGTTTTCTTTGTATGAAAGTGGTCACATCAATCCAGCATGAGATGGAGATCAAGCTGGTATCTGCATCAGTCCCTTGGGTGGGGGAAATCTCGGCCACGCGTGCTTCAGTGGTGAGGGAGGTAAAATCAGGTTTTCTTTATATGAAATGGGCTGCGTCGGTCCACAATTAGCAGGTGGCGAAAGTCACATGAATAGTTTTCCTGGGCCATACAGGCATGTTTGGAAAATAGCAGGCAGATAGGTTGGCTGGACTGCCCCCACTGGGAAAGGAAGGGTGGGGGGGGGGTGTGGAAAGAAGAAGAGATTTATACTGTAACTGCACAAGGCAGAGGTGATCTGTCATCTGTGGGTAACAAGTACAATGTCAGTTAGTGAAAACCCGAACCTGGAGAGAATGATGCAGTAGGGAGTGTCTGGCTCTGGGCGCACCACTTGAGACTCAGGAAAAAAGTCTGGTAGAGGGACCCTTTGCTGGCAAAGGTGTTGAGGTGGGAGACAAGAGTTAATATTGCATTAGATGATGTCGAATCTTGACCCAGATGCATCTTTTCTTGTCTCTCTTATAGTGTTTGGATTATCAACCAGGTGCCATCTCCACAATTAAGGTTGCTAGTAATCAATCTCCAGCACCGTCTCTTGTCCTGGTTAGATACTTTCAGACTGCTGTTAGTTCATCTTATGATGATGTCCTTTCCACTTGTACCTCTGTCTCCCTCTTGCTCTCTTATCTTCAACTTTTCCCCCCAGTATAGCTTCAAAAAGGTGTAATATTGTTAATTAATGTGGAAATGCTTCATTGCTATCTTTTCTAATTGTTTTCAGAAACTTTTTTCATTTCCAATCTCTGTAGAACTTCTGTAATTAATTATTTTTGCTGTTTCCATGAAATACAACTTATTCTTCTAAATGTCCACACCTCTAGAGACCCAGTCTTGCATATATCCACACCTCTAGAGACTCTGTCTTGTATATATCCACACCTCTAGAGACTCAGTCTTGTATATATCCACACCTCTAGAGACTCAGTCTTGCATATATCCACACCTCTAGAGACTCAGTCTTGCATATATCCACACCTCTAGAGACTCAGTCTTGCATATATCCACACCTCTAGAGACTCAGTCTTGCATATATCCACACCTCTAGAGACTCAGTCTTGTATATATCCACACCTCTAGAGACTCAGTCTTGCATATATCCACACACCTAGAGACTCAGTCTTGCATATATCCACACACCTAGAGACTCAGTCTTGAATATATCCACACCTCTAGAGACTCAGTCTTGCATATATCCACACACCTAGAGACTCTTGCATATATCCACACCTCTAGAGACTCAGTCTTGCATATATCCACACACCTAGAGACTCAGTCTTGTATATATCCACACACCTAGAGACTCAGTCTTGAATATATCCACACCTCTAGAGACTCAGTGTTGCATATATCCACACCTCTAGAGACTCAGTCTTGCATATATCCACACCTCTAGAGACTCAGTCTTGCATATATCCACACACCTCTAGAGACTCAGTCTTGCATATATCCACACACCTCTAGAGACTCAGTCTTGCATATATCCACACACCTCTAGAGACTCAGTCTTGCATATATCCACACACCTAGAGACTCAGTCTTGTATATATCCACTCACCTAGAGACTCAGTCTTGTATATATCCACACCTCTAGAGTATAATTTCTAGTTGCTTGTTGTTCGTTGTCAGGGTTTCTGCCCTAAAAGTAGGCAGCTTAAGTAAAAGAAAAATTTGTGGAGGTTTAAAATGGGCCAGTTTAACCAGGCCAGTAGTGATAAGGTCAGCTTGAATGGAAAGCAAATGGATTTAAGGTTTTCTAGCATTTTGGACGTGGGGAAACTCCAGTTAGAGGTTTTACTGCAGCTGGAAGATACTTTCTAAATGCTGTCATCACTAGATGATGATGAATAGGGCTGCTAAATGTTTCTAGTAGTGTCCACCACAGTTTTGTGCTGCTAAATTTGGTTGCTGATTCCAACAGTCTTAGACATGTAGGGTAAAGGATGATTCCAACATCATATATCTTTGGGTTAGGGGATGATTCCTGTAATCTTAGACCTGTTAGTTAGGGGATGATTCCAACATATCTTTGGGTTAGGGGATGATTCCATGTCTTTGGGTTAGAGGATGATTCCAAGAGTCATATATCTTTGGGTTAGAGGATGATTCCAAGAGTCATATATCTTTGGGTTCCTATCATCTAAGACCTGTTAGTTAGGGAATATTCCTATAATCTTAGACCTGTTAGTTAGGGAATATTCCTATAATCTTAGACCTGTTAGGGAATATTCCTATAATCTTAGACCTGTTAGTTAGGGAATATTCCTATAATCTTAGACCTGTTAGTTAGGGGATGATTCCTATAATCTTAGACCTGTTAGTTAGAGGATGATTCCAACAAATATATGTTTTGATGAGGGGATGATATAAAGTGTTGTCATGGTTTTATTAGGAGATGATTCCTCCAGTCTTAGACACGTAGGTTAAGGGATGATTCCAACAGTCTTGTTACTGTTCATTTGGGAATGATTCCTATAATCTTAGCCCTGTTTGTTAGGGAATGATTTCCCACAATCTCATACCTTTTGATGGTTGATTATTCCAACAGTTTTTTCCCCCTTGCTAATAAGTTTTATAATAAGGACTTTCCCTCTTTTCACCAGGGATACACCCAGTCCAGTTCCCAGTATCATCACCATCAGTTCTGAGAGTGAAGATGAAGGAGATGGTCTCCGCAGCGGCCGCAGCTGCAGCAATCGGCACCATCGCCACCACCACCACCGCATCCTGCAGGCACAGCAGCACAGCCAGGCACATCCGTGTGACCGCTACTTTGACCTGAGGACCCTGCCATGTGACGGAAGCGACACTAGTTTTGCCGACAATCACTCCTTAAGACGAGGCCGAAGGTAATTATCAAAACCACTGACTAGATATTAGGTCAGGGGTGGGCAACTTTTTTTTGGGAGTAGTTTGCCAAATTTAGAATTATCGACCCGGTCAAGGGGCTTATAGAACAAAATTATTATGACCATAACACCCAGATTTCCTTGTAACAGCATTTTTTGTGGGGTACATGGGGGGGGGGGGGGGGGGGGGGTTGTCTGCCAAATTTAGAATTACCAACTCGGTTGAGGGCCATATAGGCAAAACCCATAATTAACATAACACTCTGTCTCCTCATAACATTATATTTTTTTTGGGTGCACTAGGTCGGGGTGGGCACAATTGGGGGTCGGGTCTGCGGGCCAAAATTATAATTAACAATGTGATCGAGGGCCGTGTAGGGGGAAAAAAAATCCGTTATAGACCCAGATTTCCTTGTAACACATTTTTTATTTTTAGGGTTAATCTAAAATTATAGTCCCTTACTGCTCCTCTGGTCAGACACACTCACCCCATGAAGCTCTTGTATATATGCCTAAAGGTGTCTGTTTAGAGAAAAAGTTCACTGACAGACAATATTTCCTTCTATATATGCCTAAAGGTGTCTTAAGAAAATAGAATGGTTGTCACCTTTTCTTTAATTACCAAAGTTTAATAACAGACAATATTTCTGAATGTGCAACAAGTGTTTTTTACTAGCAGCACCCCCCCCCCCCCCCCCCCCCCCTCTATGTATATGCACTCGCACAAGATGTTTTTTAAAAAAATGTTTTATTTAAAGGATCAACATCATAGTATACAGGTGTAACAGCTTACTCCTCAATTCTACTTCTAATTCAAGCCTAGGTCTGAGGAGTCTGAGAGCAATGCACGAACTCCGTAGCACTGGCAAGGATCCTGAAATACTTTGGGAATATTTTAACTCCAGATTTTGACCGGGTGGCGCCGCTAGGCTACTGTTTTTTCTGTTTCCAACTGCAAAGAGATTTTTTTTATGTGCGCAACAATACACACGGGTATCCCGTCCTACTACCCAGAGACCAGGGAAAATTGCTAGAATTTAAAGTGGGAAAAAAATCCTAGCCTTCATCGCACTCGAGGAGGACATCATACCTCGAGACCACTAGGCCCCCTGAGTGTAATGTGTGTGTCCCTATAGACAGTCTAATGAAAGTCATTGTTCATAAGTAAAATAATCCTGCAATTCCACTAGGTCAAGGTCAGTCATCCTGTAAGATAACTTTCTGCAAATAAATAAATATATATATTACTGTGGCGATGTTGATATTAATGTAAGTTTGTGAATTTTTCATACAAATATATATTGTCTTCTGTTTCTGTCCAAAACACACAGTGGTGCCAGACAAGATAACATCTTGAAGACCGGTCCTCTCAGTTATCCCTAAAAACATCTGATACAATTTCAGAGCTTTAGCCGCAGAAAGATGCATTCTGAGACCCGTACTTGTGCTTTGAATATTGGTATATATGATCAGCCAAAGACAAAATTGGAAATTTCACTGTCTGAAAATAACGCTCACAAAAAATTCAACAATTGTGCGCTTAAATGTGTAACCAAGTCCTGTAAACAAACAAAAACATTAGAATAACCTTCCCTGAATGTCTTAGTGGTAGTTCCGAACATAAAAAGCAAATACGGAGCAGTATTCCAAACAATATATATATCCAATTGAATCAGACTGTGTTGTTTGGTCAAATTGTAACTTCTCAGTCAACACACAAAGAAAGCTTTGCTCGGGCCTGAAAAGGTTAACTGGTGCCCTCACATAATAGAGGGATTTATGTGGTATAATAGAATCATTAATGTTGAGTTTTGGGAGAGAACTGAACAAGTTCCAGTGGACCAATGATGAGGAAAAGATACTGGTGTTGTTTAGGACACAATTGGGTAAAAATAACCAGTTTCTTTATTCTGGAACCCACAGGGGCATAGAAGTAAAAGCAGGCCAAAAGAAACACAGATAATGGAGCTAGAGAATGAAGTTTAAGGGGGGGGGGGAGTTGTATGAGATAACAGGGGATAGAACGACTTTGCACAAGTTGGTTGAAAGCCTATGCTCCATTGGAGGAATAAAAGGCCTCCATTCCCACAGTTTCCATGTTTTCCTGTGCCCGATTGTGGGAAAAACCAGAATAGACCACTGCCTACCCAAAGCCATGTCATGAGAGTCGACTAGTTGGGAGCTTTCTTTAGAATCTGAGTACATCTGCTTAAAAGGCGGTCTGCATACTAATGAGTCATGATGTGTAAAAGGGATGTGCCTGCAGCACTAGTGTCCGGAATGGGATTAAAGTCCAGAAATTAATGGAAAAAAAACTAGAATTTTCCACAGGAGTTTACAGCTGGTAAAGAAGACTTTCACATGGGTGGTTCATTTGACAAACAAACATCTTTATTTTTGGTGGTTTTTTGTACAGTAACACGAGAGTTGGACCATGGAAGAGACCGGGCTTCACTTTGTTATCTTTTCATAGACAGCAGTGCATGTGCTGTAGACCACCTAAGTTATGGATGGAGATGAGAGAGCACATAGTTTAACACTGAAAGTGTTCAGTGTAATTTCTCCACCTAAAGTCAAGTGTACTTCATCACTCATTCCTTTTTTGTTTTCTTTCTATAGTCGGTGATGGCTTTTTGACAGTTCCTGATGACCACGAGTCCGACAGCGAGGACAGCTTGACCGCCGGCAGTAACCTGCTGGCTAGTCTCACCAGCGGCAACGGGTCAGCCGCCAGCATTGCCGCAGCAGCAATGCCTTGTCCTCCGGCCAGCCCGAGCAGCCTCGGAGGCACCAGCAGTGCTAGGCAACCACACCAGCACCATCACCACCACCACACTGCCCAACAACATCTGCAGCAGTCTCAGGTGTTTAATACCAACAATGTCAAACATGAGCTGATTGACCGACTGCCTGTGTCTCACAGTATTTTCACACCTCAGGTAGGTGCACTTCTTCTCACCTGTACATATTGTAGGTATTGATCACTCTACGCTCTTTTTTTAAATTTAAAAAACAAAAAAAACAACCTTAGGTATTTACGCTGGTCACCTGTAAATTTGACCCCTTACATGTTAAAGCCTTTATGTATATCCGCACCCTACCTGTACATATTGACCCCTTCTATAGGTCCACACCTTACCTGAACATATTGACCCCTTTCATAGGTCCACACCTTACCTGTACATATTGACCCCTTTCATAGGTCCACACCTTACCTGTACATATTGACCTCTTGCAAAGGTTCACACCTTACCTGTACATATTGACCCCTTGCATAGGTTCACACCTTACCTGTACATATTGACCCCTTGCATAGGTTCAGACCTTACCTGTACATATTGACCTCTTGCATAGGTTCAGACCTTACCTGTACATATTGACCCCTTGCATAGGTTCAGACCTTACCTGTACATATTGACCCCTTGCATAGGTCCACACCTTACCTGTACATATTGACCCTTATATAAGTCCACACCTTACCTGTACATATTGACCCCTTGCATAGGTCCACACCTTACCTGTACATATTGACCTGCTGATCATATTTTTACACCTTGTAAAGATTCACTTCACCTGTGTATATATATATATATATATATATATATATATTGACCACTCATCCTCTTATTACAGCTCTGGTACACTCACTACTTCTCACCTGTACACATTGACCACTTACCCTCTATCTACAACTCTGGTACACTTACTACTTCTCACCTGTACATATGTTGACCTCTCGCCCTCTAGCTACAGCTCTGGTACGCTCACTACTTCTCACCTGTATATATGTTGACCACTCGCCATATTGTCACAACCCATAATTATTATGTGCCATTGTCCGCCATGATGTTGTCCACATCACCAACCGAATGCCATTTGGTTTTTAAATATAGACATTGCCCTATATGCCCAGTACACCTGATGGCCTAAAAAAGGGGAGCTTTTAGTTTACTTGCTGTTATTGGCAGCGTCTTAAAACCCAACTCACACATGCTCATATTTTCCATGCACCTTTAAGTGCGGTTTTCCACATTGTGTGGTTTACAGCTAGGCTGTGACAGATGCACTTTTTTGGCCTAATACATGCAGTTTCGGCGAAACCCTAATTAGTTAATGTCTACTACATGCTTGTTGGGGGGGGGGGGGGGGGGGGGGGTACCCTGACCCCAGTGGGGCCCCAGAACTAACACAGAGAACACGAGATATGGTGAGTTAGCTTGGGCAACATGAGACAACGGAGGTAAGAATAACTGGTCATTCTGTGACCGGACCCCAGGTGAACCTTTAACAGGTGAGACGAAGAGTTAATAACCTTTTTTTTTTCTCCAACAGTCGTTTGGTGGCGCCAGCAGTAGTTTTTCTCTGCCCCAGTTGCAGGTGTCCGGCTGTAGTACCAGTTCAACTCATCCCCGCATCAGCATCACCAGCGCTGGCCATGCCAGCGGCAAACAGCATGCTAAAGTTAGCCCCTATGTTCCCAAGCAGGAGCTTCTGGCCAGTTTAGACAAGGACAGGCATCGGGTCCGCTCGCCCAAAATGGAGAAACTGACCCCCTTTGAGTTAGAGCTCAGTTCGGCTGCAGCTCAGGGCAAGCTGGCGTATGTTTCTCCCACTGTTCGGGCCGTACCGACTTCTGCGGCCAAAGTGGCAAGTATCAGTGCTGGGAGCATTTCTACCGGAGCACCCTGTCTTACTGCCAGGTCCCACTTGGGTGGCCGAGCTGGCGGGATGAGGCTGTGCGTCCAGCAGGCGGGAGGGGCAGGCATGAGCCAGTTGTCACCGGTGCAGCTCGGCCAGCCAGTTTTGTTGAACACTTCACAAGCCGATGTTCACGGGTAAGTTAGCTTTTATTTACTGTCAAGGCGTATCTCACTATTTTCATTTACTGTCATAACATGTTTTATTATTGTTATCCGTTGTCATACCATGTATTATTAGTGTTTATCCATTGTCATAACGTGTTTTGTTATTGTATTTTAGACACTGTTAATTGTAAGTTCCATGTTCTGTAAATTATTTTTGGACTTACAACTTAAAAGTATGTTTTATTGTAGATTGTTTGTAATTGTGAGTATTGTAAATGTTGTGAGCGCTCACAGCTCGAGTGTTTGTTGTATTCTGGGCTAGTTGTAAATTGTGAGTTCTGTAAATGCTGTATAGACTTACAAGTAAAAAGTTATGTTGTATTCTAAACTTACAAGTAAAAAATGTGTTGTATTCTCTAAACTAACGAGTAAAAATTATGTTCTATTCTAAAGTTACAACTAAAGTCTATGCAGTATTCTAGACTACTTGTAAATTGAGTTAGTAAATATTTTGTTAATGAACAACTAAAATATATGTTGTATTCCAAACTAGTTGTCTAATGTGTCTCCGCCGTACTCAGTTTCCATCATACAGATTAGACACCGTTGTCGAGGGGTCAGGATCACAGTACAGACGAATAAACTTCTCTTCCCATCAACTATCACACATCTCCAAACGACGAATGTTGACAGCAGTTCGCGCGTTTATTATCAGTACAACACAGGTGACAAGAATCAACATTAAAGCTGAACACTCACACCTTTCGGGCAAGGTTCCCTTGCTCCCACTCTTTAAGTCTACAGCCGCGCTTCAACGATGGACACTGGCATGTACATGACTGGCACATTCACCAGGGGAGAGTACACAACTGTTGTCCTCAGCTGTAATTCAACACAGCTTCAGTCCTTGCCGTTCAGGACTAACGTTCATTCGGGTTTAATCCAGATCCATATTCATACCTATCACTGTGGATCCAGTTTCCCGTGCTTTCACTCTGGGGTCCAGTCACAGAATGACCAGTTATTCTTACCTCCGTTGTCTCATGTTGCCCAAGCTAACTCACCATATCTGGTGTTGATGCTCAGCACGCTAACCTCGTGCCTTGTAACTTCTCTAATTCCACCAACCAATCAAACCCCTTATTTTATTCTTATATTTAGCTCCATTACAAGTTGTAAATTGTCTTTGAATAATTAATGTACTCACAGCTCAAATGTTTGTTATATTCTAAACGTTGTAAATTGTAAGCTATGTAACTGTTGTATGTACTCACAGTTGAAGTGTTTGTCATATATATTCTAGACTAGTTGTAAATTGTGAATTATGTAAATGTTGTATGTGCTCACAGTTGAAGTGTTTGTTATATTCTAGACTAGTTGTAAATTGCGAATTATGTAAATGTTGTATGTACTCACAGTTGAAGTGTTTGTTATATTCTAGATTAGTTGTAAATTGTGAGTTATGTAATTGTTGTATGTACTCACAGTTGAAGTGTTTGTCATATATTATTCTAGACTAGTTATAAATTGCGAATTATGTAATTGTTGTATGTACTCACAATTGAAGTGTTTGTTATATTCTAGACTGGCTGGTTGTTGTCTCCCCAGTGACTACCGACAGTTAGCTCCCTTGCATAGTTCTCCGCTGCACCATTACCTACTGCCTGCACACCAGCACCAGCAGATGGCGCTGCCGAGCTCGGCTTCCATCAGGCAGTTTGGGTAAGCTGAAATAGTTTACTCTTGTTTTGTTTTTAACTTGTCTAAAAGGGTGTTCTGGAACTGAGACAGGAATAATGGTTTCTGATTGGCTGCCTTGATCTAGGTGTTGCTGTTCCTGTAGTTCCTTGCTGTCTGCACAGAATTAGGAGCCACGGTAGGTTTAGAGGACTAGCACGCCGGCCTGTTGGTTCATTGGCCAGATGAGTCCTCATTCTGCGTTGGGGGGGGGGGGGGGGGGGGGGGGTTAATTATATTCTTTGTATTGTTGCAGTGCTGTGAACCACTCTGATAATTTAAAAAAGTTAATGATCATATTATTAGTATTGTTGCAGTGCTATGAATCACTGATAATTTTTTTTTCCCTCCTCTGACAGTGCGTTCAGCCCGACAGTGGCCCCTCCGCCCGCTCACCAATCCCCGAGACAGCTGCAGTATTCCTCCCACCCGCTCCCAGCCCACATGCACCCGGTGCCAGTGCTGCACCCGACTGGCCTGACACCCACCTACCCAGCTCAGATACACCCACATTATGCCGCGGCTGTTTCTGCTGCTGCTGCCGCGGCGGCTGCTGCTGCGCCTAGTTACCTGGCACCAACCTCCCAACCTGTGGCGCCACCTGGGGTTTACGCCACCTACCAGATCAGCCCAGTCAAGGCTCGGCAGTTCCAGTACTTTGCTTGAGATTGGAGGCACTTGTCAAATATTTCACAGATTAAAATTATACATATTCCCTGTTGATGTGTGTGTGTAAGAGTGTATAGATTTCAATTTTCTAGGTTTGGTGAACAGTTGTATTTAAACAGGCTGTTGAACGTATAGTAGCTCTTGCAGTTTTTCCATGAGTAGTCGGTGGCAAGATGTCAGAGCTTTCATGCAGGGAACAAGACCGAGCCATCAGCTGGTATGGCAGCACATGGATTATGCCGAGGAAACAACTGCCACCATCTAACCAGAGCAAAAGTCTTTCAAAAATAGGAACAAGACAGCACTGCCAACTGGCATGGCCTTGGATGGGTGACTGGGGAAAACATCCACCACTGAATGGTCAGACACAAGATAGCACAGCCAACTGAGAAACAGCCACTACTGAGTGGCCAGACAGGTGACAAGACAGTAGCATCAACTATCCAGACAGTTATAGATGGAACCAGACTACCAGTAACAGACCAGTGGGTAGCTCTCACAGAGGCCAGGCAGCAGAAAGCTTTCACCAAGGGAACATTTGAATCAGAGTGCCTGCAATCTTCACTGAACGTTTCCTCAAGCTCGGCTTCTGTCCTGTACTTATCCAAGGGCATTCATGCTAAATGTTTACTAATTCCATGATCCAGACATTGTCAGTTGACAGGTGGCAGAGAAAACGTGGCGGGGGGAAGAGGAGGAATTCTCAACAAGCTTTTATCAGACAGACAGACAGATGTCATCTCTGTTCTCCTCTTTCATGTTTTGTGATTATCAGAAATGTACACTTTGCTAAGTCTTGGCTATTTGCAGATGCATATATTATTCCAACGTATTTTTCTTCTTTGTGTTTTTATGCTTGTGTCTTTGTTAATCAGTGTGTTGCTTTCAATCTTCCATTTTTTTCTCCTATTTGTTAGACACTTGTGGACATTTTCTTCATTAGCTTACAATTTTCTCTCCGTCATGATATGCTGTTTTTGTGTTTTCTGCCATGCTCGTGGTCTTACTTAACTGGACACTGGATTGTGATGTGTGTGTATGTGTTTCTTTTCATGTTTTGTTTCTTTCATTATTTTAATCAGATTCCTGATTTTTATTGTTATCATATCAAGTATACAGTTGTTAGTAATAATGATTATTTGTGGTGATGGTTACATTTGAGTTATGTTTCCTGGGTAACCAGGGAGGTTTCATTTATTGTGTAGATAATCGGCATGCTGTAATTCACTGCTTGTAATGTAAGATATGGGGAAGGGGGGGGGGGGCAGATGAAATGAAACCCATGACTGGTATGTAAGAGTTGGGGGGACGATGACTCAGGTTTGTACCTTAAGATTGCGGGTGCTGATGTACTTTGGCATGCACTGTAAGATTGGTAGCCTAATTTAACCTTTTCTTGCATTGTAAGATTGAAGGCTGATATATCCCCTGTTTACAGCATTGTGAAGTTGAAGGCAGACGTAACCCTTGCTAGCTTTGTCAGATTGGGAGCTCCCGTAGCCCAAGCTAGCATTGTGCGACTGGTGGCAGACATAACCATTGCTATCATTGTCAGACTGGGAGCTCCTGTAGCCCAAGCTATCATTGTAGGACTGGGAGCTCCTGTAGCCCAAGCTATCATTGTCAGACTGGGAGCTCCTGTAGCCCAAGCCATCATTGTCAGACTGGGAGCTCCTGTAGCCCAAGCTATTGTTGTCAGACTGGAAGCTCCTGTAGCCCAAGCTATTGTTGTCAGACTGGAAGCTCCTGTAGCCCAAGCTATTGTTGTCAGACTGGAAGCTCCTGTAGCCCAAGCTATTGTCAGACTGGAAGCTGATGCTACCTGGGTTAGCTAATCCATTCTTGCATTATAAGTTTGGATGCTGAGGTAACCCATTATTGTGTTGTGAGATTGGGGGCAAAAAAACCTATTACACCATAAGATTGATAAAGACTCCAGTAACACATGAACATTTTGTAAGATTGAAGACTCCAGTAACACATGAACATTTTGTAAGATTGAAGACTCCAGTAACACATGAACATTTTGTAAGATTGAGGACTCCAGTAACACATGAACATTCTGTAAGATTGAAGACTCCAGTAACCCAAGCTTGCAATGTAAGAACTGACATAAACCATCATGGTGTGGTACAATTTATTTATCAAACCCATGATTGTATTGTAAGATTGGGATCCATCATTTTGCACCCACTGCCAATGTTTTTCTATAAATGTGCTGTTTGAATTTGTGGCATTTTAAGCGTTGCAGGCCAATCCACTTGTGTATGCTTGCTTTGCTCCATACTTGGCCAGTTTATTATGTTGATGACTGAATGGTTTGCTTTTCAAAATGTAGTGAATGTAGTAGTTATGACTTGACCAAGCTGTACTGATTGTCTGGATGTGTGTCGATAGGTTGGTTGTTGGGTAGACTGATGTGTGTGTTGAAACAGCTTAAGCTAGGGTGGTGGGGGAATTCAAAGACATTCAAGGATAGAAGAGGAGCAGTGATCCAAACCACAGTTTTGAAACTAGCCGTATCAACTATTTAGGCTTAGAATTTCTCAATGAAAGTTTCTTAATGGGTCATACTGGCTGCTTGTTGTAGTTCCAAAGGATCTCCTGTGTGGTGAACTGAATGTCGAATTAAGAATCAACATCACAGCACTCGAGACACCCCCATCAGCGCTCGGTCTCAATCTTCAGCAGGAAGTGCAGTACCTTTCTCCCTAGACACGTAAAGGTCTGTCTGTGCCTCGGCAATATTTACTCGCTCCAAAAGGGCCCTCACAACATCCAGCTTGTCATACATCAGTTCACCACCAAGTGGTGCAGAACCGGCCAGTCTATCTGCCTGCTCAATTCCCAACACACCGGCATTACCTGGAGAAAATATCCAAAGGATGCTAACTACCCGGGACCTTTGGAGTGATGCTTGCCATCCTGCATGGAGCATGCCTGTCTCCACCTTTCCCAGCATGCTCTGTGAGTTAGTTATAATGAGGCACATGTGTCTCTGGTGAACTGGTAACTGGTAAAAGATCTGCAGGAAGGTCAAGGTGAAGCTATGAGGACATATGCACATGCAACCTGAAAGATGTCATCATTGACACAGACACTTTAGAGAACATCTGGAGACAAACTCCTGTGGAGGCAGACAGGAAAAGACAGACTCTTTCAGTTTAGAAGAAGTCAAACGCGGCAAACTAAAGAGGGGATGTGTCCGGGAGAAAATAAGCCTCAGTTTAATGGAGTATCAGCATTTGTATGTGGACTGTGTGACAGAGATCACCACTTCCGCAGTGGATTTGACATGTTCTCTATACCGGAACGACATCTACATTGCCATGGCCTTGAATTTGTGAGTGACTAAAACCTTACATCCTAATCAGGAATGTGCAGGTTTTTTAATTTGTGTGTGTGACTAAAACCTTACATCCTAATCAGGAATGTGCAGGTTTTTTAATTTGTGTGTGTGTGTGTGTATGTAGAAGCGTGGTTGTGCATTGCACTAACAATTTGGCGGTTACACAAGCCAAGTACGGTTATGAATGAGCCGTTAACAAATCATCACAAATATCACATTTGTAAGGTTTCTCTCCTGTATGAAGGTGCCACAGTAGCTAGTGGACATATCTTCCAGCCTGGTTGTGCCAGGTTTAGATACCACTTAAGGGGGAGGGGGTGTTGGCAGATAACTCCATGTTGACCCAAAGACCCAACCTCATAAAATGGATGTTAGGAAATTTCTTGGTAGGTGAAGCAGCCTGTCTGATTAAAATCTACTTCCTTCCTGTTTGTCCCTGTGTTCTCAGCCAGATTCCAGTGATGTCACATTTTCCAGCACTGGTGGAGGCAGCTGGCGTCAGTTCATGTGAATAGTCAAATTGTGACACATTTCTTTTGTCCACAGTGAAATCCTGTCTACACTCATTTATTTTGCTGTGTCTTTTGTCCACAGTGAAATCCTGTCTACATCCTTTTATTTTGCTGTGTCTTTTGTCCACAGTGAAATCCTGTCTACACCCATTTATTTTGCTGTGTCTTTTGTCCACAGTGAAATACTGTCTACACTCATTTATTTTGCTGTGTCTTTTGTCCACAGTGAAATCCTGTCTACCCTCATTTATTTTGCTGTGTCTTTTGTCCACAGTGAAATACTGTCTACACCCATTTATTTTGCTGTGTCTTTTGTCCACAGTGAAATACTGTCTACACCCATTTATTTTGCTGTGTCTTTTGTCCACAGTGAAATCCTGTCTACACCCATTTATTTTGCTGTGTCTTTTGTCCACAGTGAAATCCTGTCTACACCCATTTATTTTGCTGTCTTTTGTCCACAGTGAAATACTGTCTACCCTCATTTATTTTGCTGTGTCTTTTGTCCACAGTGAAATACTGTCTAAACCCATTTATTTTGCTGTGTCTTTTGTCCACAGTGAAATCCTGTCTACACCCATTTATTTTGCTGTGTCTTTTGTCCACAGTGAAATCCTGTCTACACTCATTTATTTTGCTGTGTCTTTTGTCCACAGTGAAATCCTGTCTACACCCATTTATTTTGCTGTGTCTTTTGTCCACAGTGAAATCCTGTCTACACCCATTTATTTTTCTGTCTTTTGTCCACAGTGAAATCCTGTCTACCCTCATTTATTTTGCTGTGTCTTTTGTCCACAGTGAAATCCTGTCTACACCCATTTATTTTGCTGTGTCTTTTGTCCACAGTGAAATACTGTCTACACTAATTTGTTTTGCTGTCTCTTGTCCACCATGAATTCGTGTCTGCACTCTTATTTTTCTGTGTCTTTTGTCCACAGTGAAATCCTGTGTACATTCTTTTATTTTGCTGTATCTTTTGTCCACAGCACAACATATTTAATATGATATTTCTGATTATCCTTTTATTCTCAATATATCTCTGAATACTTAATCTTAACACCATGCCTTTAAATACTTGGCGGATTTTCTATCTGCACTCTCTTGAAATCTCATCAGTCCAGTGCATTTCTCAAAAT